AAAACAAATGCTATTATCCATCTTTGGACCTGCTGCCACATTCTTCTCTGTGTATTATGGTCACACAATTGTGAACAGCACAGGAGACGGCTGTAAAGAAACGCCTTTTATTTTAGTGCATCTCCTCACTGAGGCTTACGACCAACAGAAAACGAAGAGATGGTCCTAGGACTCTGAACAAGCCCATCTCAAACCTCTTGCCTATGGAAGAGGCATAACCCCTGCAGGCAGGTGCAGGAGGCCCAACCAGCAGCGCAGGGATACACTTCCCAGCTACGGCCTGGTCACTCCATCGGCACAGAGTCCAGTTCATTCAGGAAGCGCTGACACTTTCCCATCAGGATCTTGATGGCTTCGCTCACCAGCACATCTGGAGGCAAGATACCCGTCGACTCTACTGAAACTGCACAGAGACACAAGTCAGCAAAGCCACCGGGCAGCTTCAGCCTACACCCGGCTCCAGCACTCCTGTCCCCCGTCTTCCCTCACACCGCACTTCTGAAAAGCCAGATCTTCAGAGCCAGAGGCGAAGAGGTTATGTTTGCCGGCAGGGAGCATAAGCGCATTCAATCCCAAAGCAACACCAAGCCACAACCTCAGCAGTTATCCGCTGGAACATGAACATGTGAAGGCTCACGATGCGGAGGGAGAGGGGGAGGCAGAGACCCAGCCGTACACGCTGGCCAGCCTCTGCTCGTTTGCACAAACGACAGCGGGGCTCTGCGTTCTGTGGAAAACGGGGCACTTACAGATGTAATGGTTTCGCACTCTTGCCAGGCGCACAAGGTTTTTCAGACCCTCGTGACGGAAAACTTCTCTGCTGAACGTGTCCAACCGTGCGTTGGCTACTCTTGCCACCTTTTTTCCTAACGGAGAAAATACAAAATGAGACAGGCGCCTGCAGCAGATGTGTGCCTCGTGGTCGCAGCAGGTGCTTACCCCTCAAAACATGCACTCCCCCGTCAGCAACAGCAGCAAAGCCACAAAGAATCAGCACATCCCCAGCATGAAACTCCAACCTGACAGAACTGGTGTTCTTGCACAGTTCCAACCCAAACACAAAGCTTTTATGTACCCTTGGGCAGGACACAAGAAGTCTTCTCCATACTCAGCTGCTGGAAAGAGCAGGCTCGCTACCCAGTCTTACAGACAACAGAACAGTACAGGCAGCCGCCGTCAGCATCCACAGGGCTCTGCGGGCAGGCACCCAATGCCTTAGCATTTCAGGGAGGTCCCAGTTCATTGGCCAACACATCTGCATGTGGCAGCCACTCATTCATAAAACCAGGCTCTGAATAGCATGAAGGTTGCTGATCAGCAAGACAACATCACAACGTGGTTTTGTCTCTACGAGGTTTGGCTCTAATCAGTCTCTGCTAAAGCTTGTAAGGAAAAAGGCACTTTGGAGCATAAGAGAAGTACCCTTGATGTTCTGGATCTCAATGACTCCCGGGGAAAAGCACTTCTGCAACATCTCAGCTGCCTCGTCCTCAATAGGCTGCAGGAGAGTAATGTCAGGAAGCAGTCGATAACTAGCTGTGGCCACAGGAGAAAACTTGGCATGATCCTTACCTGCACAAAGAGGTAAGAGTTAAGGATGAGGGCAGACCTCAGGGAATGGGAGTGCAAGGACGCCGGGGCCCAAAGTCCTAGGGGGAAAGCCAGCTCTCCACCCTTCCCCTGCACACAGCTGTGCCCTAGTCCAGGCACGCACGCTGCTCCTCCCACCGCCCAGGACCCACAGCTCACCTACACCCTTGACACAGTGCATAAGCACATCTATTTCCTGGCCGGGTCGCAGCAGCGCGATGAGGATGCCATCGTGAACAGGTCGGAAGTCAGCATCTGGGAAGAGGTCTGTCTGGTTCCCCAGGGGCACCCACGTCATGTGTTTACTGTACACTGTGAAGAGAAGCCACAAGCATCAGCCAGCTGCTGTCTCAAAACACATTGCCGACCTGTACAGGACTGGAGATGGCAAAAAGCAACTTGAGCAGACTGCAGGAATTGTTTCTCTCCACTCACAGGGCTGAGAGAACAGACCAAGATCAAAAAAAGAAAGAAACAGCACTTCTTTTTAGGAGAGATTTTACCTTTGTGATTGAAATATAGTTCATTAGGATCAGACGATTCCTTGGCTGCCTGAGGGTTTCGGCTGCATTTTATTTTCAGCTGGAACTGCAAAGTATCAATTTCTGTGCCTTCTTCATCTCCTGGGAAGAGGAGCACAGCATGAGCCTCTGCGGAATCACAGTCCTGCTCAGTTTAGGTGACCCTGATTTCCTGCTTTGGGGGAAACCTTCAACATTCCTATTTGATCCAAGACTCTCACCTTGGTTTCTGTATTCGAAGAGCCGAGGGTCAGCACGGATAGGGATGAGGCCCAAGCGATGAGCCAGAATTTCATCCTGCACAATGGATGTGTTGTTGTACACAAAGACTTTCTCTACAGCCATCGTTGGCACCTCAGGGGGACGAAAGATCAAGTCAGCGTAAGGTGACAGTTGAACTACATGCCAACAGAATATCCAGCTAGGGTGCCCCTTGTCTCCCACAAATAACCGCCCTGAAACCTGTTTCCAGTGGTATTTCTGCCAAACCAGGCTGCCCAATAGATGCCCTTCCCTGCCATTTTTAAAAACAAGTGGCCACAGGAAGCAAAAGGCAGGCTGATCCACAGGCACTACCAGCTGTATGCTGAAGTTAACAAGTGCTGTCGCTCATGCTGCTACTGCCCTAACTCTCCCTGGGCTCCCGGCACGCGTGCAGAACGCATTTGCGCTCCTCTTCTGCCTCTCTCCTCGGCACTGGTGAGGCCGCACCTCCAATACTGTGTTCAGTTTTGGGCCCCCCACTACAAGAGGAACATTGGGGTGCTGGACATTGGTGTCCAGAGAAGGGCAGCAAGGCTGGTGAGGGGTCTGGAGAACAAGTCTTGGGAGGAGCGGCTGAGGGAGCTGGGGCTGTTTAGTCTGGAGAAGAGGAGGCTGAGGGGAGACCTTATCGCTCTCTATAACTGCCTGAAGGGAGGCTGTGGTGAGGCGGGGTTGGTCTCTTCTCCCAAGTACCGAGTGACAGGATGAGAGGCAATGGCCTCAAGTTGCATCAGGGGAGGTTTGGATTGGGTATTAGGAAAAATTTCTTCACTGAGAAAGTGCTCAGGCATTGGAACAGGCTGCCCAGGGCGGCGGTGGAGTCGCCATCCCTGGGGAGGTTCAAAAACCGCCCAGACGTGGCACTTCAGGAGACGGTCTATCAGG